GGGATTTAGCTCAGTGGCATTGGCACCTGCCCCACAAGCGCAAGGTTGTGAGTTCAATCCCCAGTACCAAAAAAAAAAAAAAAAAAAAAAAAAAACAGGCATTTTTCCCTTCTTTGCTAAGCCTTCTCTATCTGCCTGGGAAGCTTTTAATAAACAAAATGATAACAAAAATAACCAGATAAACACTATCACCTTAACTGTCACCTCCCTTCCTTCAAATATCTCCTTAAATGTCACATTTTTGGTAACAATCACACTATTTTTGTCATACTACTTAAAAATATGGGTTCCAATTATTATAATGGAGAAGTAGCTCATATTAGATCAAACCTCTCACAGAAAAGAACTGCAAACTTTAGAGAAATCACTAAAAAAAATCAACTATCTGAAAAAAAATGAGTCAAAGACAGATTTTCAGGAGAGTGAACATCTGCAAAAAAGAAATATTCACTACACAGGAAAATTAACAAGAAATCAATTATAAACTTCATAAATGCTAAAACTATATAGTTACTGAGTAAAATCTTCAAAGAATATCTTTATGGGTTGCTTCTTCTAGAATATAAAATGTATAAAGCATTAAAGAAAAAAATTAATTCAACTTCAGAAAAATCAAAATCTTATGCCCATCAAATAATGATAAGATACTGGGAGAAAATATTTGTTAAACATATATGTCTGATACAAAATTAGTATTGCGATACATAAAGAACACATAAAACTTAACTATTAAGGACTGGGGATTTAGCTCAGTGGCGCTGCCAACTGTCTCACAAGCACAAGATCCTGAGTTTGATCCCTGGTACCAAAAAAAAAATAAATAAATAACCATTAAAAGACATATAACTTTTCTAAATAAGCTAAATACTTAAATAAGAAAGAAAACATTCCAATGGATAATATGAATGTGAAAAAATAAGATCATTTGTTATCATATGGTGAAGATGACAGGTAAAGACAGGGGTTGACTGGGAAGCATATGAAGAAACCTCTGTTGATGAAAATGTTCTATATTT